CACCAGTTCTCGGAAATGCGTCCCGGATCCAAAACCTTGTATCTTGAACATGTGGATGGCCTTGGTGTCACGGTTCCAATCTGAAAATCTTTCATCTGAGCCATAGATCGCTTGGCGCGCTGCAGCAAGGCATTCGTCTTCCACACGAAAGAAGGTCTGGTGCTGAGTCTTGAAAACACCGAGGTGGCCTTCAATGCTGGCCAGCTTGGCAAATTCCTTTGACAGGATCAGAGGCTCACCCTTCAATGGAATCAACTCAAGGCCTTTCTCCGGTGGGGAGTTGGCCTCCATGACAGCTCGGAACTGGACGCTGTGAAGGCCGGAGCGCTTGTACAGGCCAAACTTGCTTTTGAAAGGAACCTGGATGCGCTGACACATGTAGCCCTGCTTTTGGTGAATCTTGTAGAAGATACAGTCCGAAATGCTGGTCACTGAGCGCACTGTTTCCTTGACATACTGAGAGAAAGCCTCTGGATCTTGGAGCTGTTCCCACTCTTCTTTACTGGCACGGTCCGCTCGAATTTCTGCAAAAATTGCCGAGCGATCAACACTGGATACCTCAATTGCATCCACAGGGCTGGGGGTGGACCAAAATTCATCAGGTGAGGCTGCCATGTTCACCAATGTGACGCATCTGGCTTCTTCGGTCTGCTGGATGCAATCAATGATGCTGATGATGGATTGCTCCAGTCTATCTGCCTCAAAACCCATGGCACTCAAAGCCTCTCGCTGAGCCCCTTTGACTATGCAGAGCAAAGGGCCAGTGCTTCTCAAATCTTTGTGCAGCTTCAAAGTGGGCAAGGTGACGAAGGCTATGCCGATTGATCCTTCATGAATAAGGGATGCATGCAGATGATCCCAATCGCTGCCCAACGTCGTTGGGGGAACAATCTGGTCATCTGATCCAAGACGCACTCCAGGTTGATTTGGCTTGGATTCCCAGGCACAACGTTTGGGCGCCGAAGGGGCCATTGCTCGATCAGGAGGTCTGATAAAGTGAAAGAGGAACAAACCAATCAGCCAGTGGAAAAACATGAAGATATGGGGAGATCTCCAGAACAAAGGAAGAATAAAACAAAAGCAAAGAAAGCCAATGGCAGAATTGGTTAACCCCCTCCCCCAGGAAGCTGTTATAGCAGTGACCACTAAACGGTTTCTGCCGTTCACTGGCCCTGAGGCCTCCCACCGGCCTGAGCCAGCAGTGCTAAAATGAAAAGGTCCAGTACAAACCAGGGACTTCTGGAAGTCTTCTATATTGGGGGAAGGGATTGCTACTATAAGTAGAATAATATACAGCACCCACAATTGCAACCGACCCGTATTCCAGGATGGGATATATGGGTATTTTTGATGACTCAATCGGGAAAATGGCTGGTGGATGATTGATGAATGGGTCCGTTAAATTTGGCCGGAAAATCGAAAAGATCATGCCGTCTCCCTTTGGAAATTTCAGTTATTGCGTCCATGACTGAGAACTGGGCTTGGTTAGGTGGTTGCTAACAATGAGTGCGTTTCCCAGTGCGAAATATCCTTTAGGATCGTTTGTGGGTATCAAAGATAACCAAGAGAAGAGATGAGAAAAGGGGACAGTCAAGAGATTCAGTAGTGGTTGATGTATACCTTGGTACTCAGACTTGGACCGTTTCTGTTTCCATAATCGCATATAATCGCCCTTAGGATGATCTTTAAAATTGAGAGGGCCAGGTTTGCCCAGGCCATGTTTCCTTACCTCATGGACCTAGTCCACCACGGCGTAAGGATCACCCCAGCAGAGCACCCCCCCTTCAGAAAGCCTGGAACCAGGAGAGGTTTATCGGAGCAGTTTGGATGCGCCGCTGTCTGTTGGAACATGTTGGAACATGTTGGCCCCGAAAACTTCGATTGCAGGCGCTTGGGCCGGCCGGAGATGGTCAGGCTTCGGCGGATTGGGTAGTTTATGGAAGGTCATGGCCACTCAAAACCTTAGCAAATGGCAAGTCAATATAGTTCCCAAATGTTCCCAACGTGTTGAGGTTTGGGCCGTTGGCTGCTGGTTGGATTATGTTAGATTTTTTCTGGGAACCCAAGCCCAATGAGATATCCATTTCACAGAGTCTATTATGGATCATAATGGGACATTGGGCAAAGGATCCCCAGCCCCACATCCTCCAGCGCTGGAGGTTGAGGTTGCCACGCCTCCCCAAACTCTTTCGCCGAGAAGCGATGCCCAATGGGGAGCTGGAAGCGCTCCAGGCAGCCCCTGAAAACGCCGGGATGAGCGCCACATGGCTACAAGATGCTACAACGAAGTTGGGGAAATCTAGGGCATGGGGCCATATGAGCAACTGCATTTAGGACAGTGGAAAGATTGGCAGTAAGTGGGTTTTCTTCAGGATCCATCACTAGGTTCAGAACGCTGTGGGGGACTAAAACGTGGCGTGACAGGCGGTGGAAAAGCGAGGTCAGCACCAGGGGCATTCTTCATGGAATACCTAAACGATGTAGGGGGACTCCTTAAAGTCTTCTTTACCCCCATGTGCCAAGTAACAGTTGTCGCTCATATGGGACATGTGCAAAACACTTTCCGCAGAAAGGTTCTCAAAAAAAGCGCTTTTCTTGCCTCTGACACCGCGGCAGAACCTCCTTGTGCAATGTTGTGTGGACACTCTGTGACTGGGGAATGAACGCCTGGTTGGTGGTTTGGAACATTTTTTATTTTTCATATGTAATATATGGGATAATCCTTCCCATTGACTAATATTTTTCAAGATGGTTAAAACCACCAACCAGAAACCCTGAAGTCCCAGCCTCCATGGCACCTGTAAATTGGTCCGGCATCGAAGATGCTTTGGTCGCATCGTTGCACGTTGCACCGTTCCAAGGTGCGTGGAGCCAGAGACGGTTCCTGCGAGTACCGGAAGAAGTGAGGTGTCAAGTGTTTGCAGCTATTCAATATCTATTCAATTCATAGGTGTTTGGATCTTTTTGGTTCATTTGCCGGACTGTTCGCATGTACCAGTATGATGGCAAATCTATGCATTCTTTATAAAATCTTATGGAGAGAGATCTTTATATATTTTTTCAGGAGAAGGGATGGATGGATCACTGCCAGCAAGTGTCGATGTACCCTTCGCTCTCTTGGTCTATGCCTTTAGATTTACAACGATTTACATGTTAGCTTTAAATTTTAAATGTGGGTGTCCATCTGCGAATCGCAGATTTTCATACATATGCCCTGTTGAACGTGTTGTATATGTATTGTCCGCAGACTCGTCACCACGGTGATGCAAGCAATGCCAAGTTTATCAAGTTTTGTTTTTGCCCACAAATTTCTCATGGAGTTTCCCAGAACATATCCTCGAAGGATTCTGGTGCTTTGCGGTTGTGGCAGAACCGTTTCGCAAAGCACGTTAGCAGACCAGTTTTTCGGCCTAAGGCCAGGAGCCAGGTGGTTGTTAATGAGCAGTGGACGTTGCCTATGGGCGATTTGATTGCATGTTTTTTTCTCCCTCCCCTCGCTCACTGCAACGTTCGCTCACTGAAAATGTCATATACGGGTGAAACAAAAAGCAGCGTTATGGGAACCGAAATGGGATGGATGTGGGTGCGATTGGTGAAGCGACAAGTACTCGGAAGGTAACCTGATACCTTGCACTGATACAGTAGTAGTTGCCAAGTGCATTGACTCATGGATCATGGACCAATGGATCTGCCTGGGTCGCGGAGGAATAGGGCAAGGCTAGTTTAATTTATCTTTGATTTCTGCATTTTAGATCATTTCAGATATTTCCCTTGGAACGGTAGAAGGCTGAATTTTGAACAACTGGTCACTGCCACAACACTGCAGCGAAGGAGGGCAGCAGGTGATGACATGTGAACTGCAAAGTCTCATGGCATGACAACGTGCGCAAGTGCTGAGAGGATGCTCTTGAAGTTGTGGTCTGACCGTATGCTTGGCACTCTTTTCACAAAGGGAAATTTTCCTCTGTGCCTCGGGGCATAGAGGCTATTGCACCTCTCTAAGAGAGGGCGATCTTTCAAGTTCTCACCCAAGTGAAGATACGAAGATACTTTTGATTTTAACTATAGTGATATCTAGTGATTAACTACTGTATCACCAATTTCAAGCCATCTGAAACAACCCCCCCAGTATTTGGCCCACTACCAATAGGGGAATTCCCCAATGAATAGATCCAGCATCTTTCAATTGCCATCAGCTGGGTGCTGCAGCTGGTTCAAACTCCGCGGGGTGAACCCCGCTATTGGAGACAGAGGAGGGGCAGCTGGGCGGGTTCGGGGGCTGCGATGGCTCCCATGACGCCAGTATCGATCTATTGTGGTACCCTCTGCTGTTGATTTACCTATTAAAAAGGTGATTTTCAGTTCGCTATGTTAGTTTACTGGAGGGATCTGGAGGGTTAGCTCCGAATCATTTTTTGCATCCCCTTTATGACTTACCAGAAGTATCATTTTTTTGGATATACCATCTGGTTATTTTACATAGCCATGGAAAATCACAATGTTTAATAGGTAAACCATCTATAAATGGGCGATGTCCCATGGCTATGTTAAATAACCAGAGGGTAAATGGGTGGTACAAACCATCCCCAAATGGTCGTTTTATGGCGGATGGATTGGGTGAACAGATCACCAGCTGGGGTTGAACACCGAAGGATTTGGCCCGAGAGCTGCATCAAAAAATGAAGGACAGACAGACGATACGCAGATAATACCGATATAAAAGAAATGCATGAGATAGTATGAATATGTATGAATATATATATATATATATTTATATATAATAGTATGAATATATATATATATATATAAACATGAAATTGATATAGATGAATGTCATGCCAGGTATCAGCACCAATTGAAGGGACTTTCAATCCTGACACACTCAATCTCTGAAACTGAAATGACAACATCCAAACTGAGGGGCAGACCGCCACGCAGTCTGCAGGCGCCTTTGCCTTTCGTGACACCGGTGCAAACACCGGTGGCGTTGCGTTTTCGCCATGGCACAGGTGGACGTGGGAGTTTTAAGGGCCATCTTGAACAACGAAGAGCTGCCCAGGAGGCAGCCTATTGTGGAGCTTCACACTTGGACCTATGGCTATGGCTGGTACCCATGGTACCCCAAAAAATGATGGGCACTGGCCATAGGCGATGAGGTTTTCAAGGCTGAGTTGCTGGGGGGCCCATGAAATATCATGAAATTGTGTTTTGAAAGTGAATGATAGTGAATGCGTTGAGGCCTGACACATCCCAATTGCTAAGATGATGGCAAGGCTAGCAGAAAGGATCATGAAAACAGTTGGGCGCGTGGCAGTGCCATAGATTCAAAGGAAGGACCTCAATCCGGTACAACAGAATAAGTCTCAAAACTGGTCAAATCGAAGCTTCATCCTCCAGGATTTTCTAGCACTGAAGCACTGATCTGGTCTCACAACTGTGATCCAAATGGATCCAAATGGCACAACTGAATTGCAGTAGAGGCAAGTGGAAAGGCCCACTTTGTATCTTCGAATCCATCATGAATCAAGGTAGTTTCACTGTTTGTGCTAGTTAGCAGTGGTGGATAGTAATAACAGACGCAAAACAGTTGAAGTGATTGAGTTGCTGGGGATGATCCCCATTGACAGCGCATGAGATTTGCTAATGGCGACACTGTCCTCCAATATTCATAGATTTCATAGCTTATATTCATAGCGTTCCTGCCCCCAGTGTCAGATGGGATTCCTCCAAGGAAAGCATTGGGGACTGACCGTTTGAACTGCACGCTGGTGGACGGACAGATTCTAAGCTGAGGGGAACAGATGGGAACTCAGCCAGTGAGACGGGCTGAAAGATGCTGAAAACCATTTGTTCAAGAATCGGTTGAAGGGAAAATCTATAGGAAACTGCTTTCGTGTAGATTTTCCCTTAAGATTTTCAAACCTGGGATCTGAAGTTTTGCTATGGGAACCACGGAACTCTTAGATTTCGAGGGTAGAGATTCGCATTGATGACGTAGGGGCTAGACAGCCCTGTGTGAGGCCCAGGTGGCATGTGTAGCAGCCAATTTTAAGCATTGAGGGCTATTTGAACCCATGCCCCAAAAAGGTGTGTATCATATTGTATCATTTCGGGGTTGAACTCCTGTTTTCCCAAGTATTTCCCCTTGAAATTCTGATCCAAGACTCATATTTTTCAGGGAGATTTACCCTCTGGTAAACTAACATAACTATGGAACATCACCATTTTTTATGGGTAAATCAACTATAAAATCTATAAATAGTAGCCATTTTCAATAGTTTTTTCTATGTTTACCAGAGGGTAGAACATCTTAGAAGCAACCAGTGATGGCGGATGCCACCTCCATAGGGATTCCAGTGCGGAGCCCCCAGGAATGTGGCAAGAGGCGTGACTCAAGCGGGAAGTGCCGTGCAGCAAGCCATTGAGCCTTCGGCAGCAGCACCCGGCAGCTGGATGCAGCTGGCTGGGAATGGAGAGATTTGACCAAATGACTGGGCCTAAAATCACCCAGTCTTTTTGGGAAATTAAGGGAATGTTTTGGTTGGGAGATGGATGATAGAAGGCGAGTAGGGATATGATAGAACTTGATAATAGACCTCAAACCAATGGAACGTAGAAAGGGGTTTATCAACATAACATGTGTACAAATCTAATCCACGCATTTGATGGGGATACTGGTATCATTGAACATGGAATAAAGAACTAACAAGATCATTTGGGTTTGTCCAAAACTTACACTGAGGGATACCCCAAGACAGCAATTCTTAGCGGGGAAAACGATGATCAGAGTGGAACACGATACACTAAGACATGGTGTTTTGGGATATTTTTGGGCACCCTCGTTTCAGACAAACCCATATGGCTCCCGATCTTGCCATGCGGCACCACCCAGGAGCGTATGGGGCATCAGCCAATGCTGCTTTCTCTTCAGAGATGGACTGCACAGGAGACGTCAGGGACACCTTTTATGCTCATCCAAGAGGTGCCCTGCAAGATGACACCAAGACAACCCAAGACAGCAGGGTAGAACATGGTAGAACCGGTATCATGCATCAAAAAAGGCCATGAAGGGCTTAAAGATGAACAGAGCATGGTAACACCTATGGGAATAACGGATCGTACAGAGTCATGGACATGACATGGCTAGTATCACCATCTCACCCTGACAAACCTGGATGGTTTCATGGCCAGTGACCGCTGGAGGCATCAGTGATGGGCCCAACACTGAACCGAGCGCAACCGCATGAGCTGAACAATTTGTCCAGGAGGGCTGTCCCTTGGCGTAACGGGCATCGATTCGTGACCTTTTTGTTTTTCTTTTTAAGATGAACTTGCAAATGGTAATATCTTAATGTGGGAAGAGCAGGGAAACTAGACTGCCAGACATTGCCAGACCCAATTTTTCGGTTCCATGTCAAATTTCCGGGCATGTAACAGCTTTATTTCCTCCTTTGGGGCATATGCACACACACACACATTACATTGCGTTATGTTTCACTAGCTACACTACCCATGCTACATAACATGCATGACATACATATATAAAACGCAAAATGCGGTAGACATACATTACATTGAATGACATTACATTGCACCGCAGCGCAGTGCTGTACAGGTACAGCACAGTCCACATATACAAATACAAATACAAACGTGATGCAAACAGGCCCGGAGACAGATAGATGCAGGGTGTCTACTTCCAAAAACAGCCATCACTGAGGGCTGTGGCGGTCAGTAGTGAGTCACTCTTGAAGAATTGGAACGCATACATACAAATAGTGTAAATCATCCAACATCTATTGACTTGATGGTGATGTTTTCTTTGCTTTCTCGCATTTTTTCGCTGAGCCCCGATAGAAATGCCGGTCATTTTCCCAACAGATCTGGGTTTTTCATGGCGCTTCTCAAGATGGAATGGCACTTCCTTGGAAGGTCTGACAGCAAGATTCTTACAAGGTGAAGCCCCCTAGCTGAGTTGACTTAGAACTTGGTGCAACTAGGCTTCATGGTGGATATAACTACCTAAGGGGTTTATAAACTTTATAAACCAACTTATAGCTGGGGGGCCTCGCCTTGTATGTATTCTAGGCAGCATCAAAGTAGAACAAAACCAGAGAACTCAACCAGCAGCCAGGTGTCTGAAGTCCCGCTGACACAGGCGCCGCTGCCGCTGGGGGTGTTCTGTGACTGTCACATTGGTCAACTACTGGTTGCTAGTTGCCAGCTGCAAGCTGCGCTGATGAGGCCATGAATTCTGCGAGCCGGGGGCCTTGACCACATTGGTTGGATATGACCAGGTGGGTAAAAATCAAGGACATTTTTGAATTTTTGCACCACTTCATTTGAAACCACATTCCTGTGCACACACTGGCGCCCCAGAGACTTGGAGACCCCAACAAAATGGGGAAATCAGTGACGAGAACCTCAAGGTCAAACTGTTTGGGTTGGCTCCAGCCAGGTTCCTATGACAAGCAGAGCTGTCGAATTGTTATGAGTTGACGTTTTTTCATGTTGCCCAAAAGAGAAGATGAACATCAGAACATCTACTGAACCTACTGCAGGTCTTGAAATGCTTTTCATTCGTTTCAGATTTGCATGCGTAGAATGTATTAGAATGTCATAGGGAGGCGGATGGGAGATCTAATTATATGTGATCAGAGGGTCAAGCATCAATGATTCATATGGAATCATATGGAGATATTACAGTATATGATATTAATGACCCCTGCCATCCGAAATTATTCCGATGTGGTGGTTAGATCTAGGACCAGGAATAATTTTCCAGAATAATTTCCTTGGGAATAATTTTCAGGCACTATGGGCACATATACATATATGGTATATATGGTATATATATATACATACACATATCACACACACATATACGTGTGTATATATATATATATGTGTGTGTGTGTCTATCTAGCTAGCTATCTACCTAGCTATCTACCTATCTGATATCTATCTATGGACTTCAAACTCACCGAGTATGCCCAGCCAACTTGAACCTCGACCGGAACCCCCGAGTGCTCCCAGGTGATATCAGCGAAGCACCGACTCAGCCAGGTGCGGTGACGGTGACGGGACCCACTGGTCACCAGACAGCTGGCATGCCATAAACGTATCATTTAGGGATGGTGACCACATATCGCAGCCATAAAAAGGTGATGGCTTTGGGATGGGTTTAGCACTTGGTGATGCTTTTCTGTGCGGCAGACCTCTCCAAGGCCCCGTTTTAGCTGACAACATCTACTCGAGGCGAGGCAATCTCCGTTGTCAGGTGGTAAACTCATGGATATCATGAAATGATGTAAACATCAGCAATGGATAGACATGGCTGATTCAAATACACAAATGCCAGTTCAGCAATAGTTCAAGTTGGTCATGGATGGTTTAACAATTCAATATTACTGGCTGGGGGCTGCATATAGATTGTTTTTCAACATGTTTCAACCATACAAAAGGGATGATTGGTTGGGATGACTAATGAAAATAATTCATTGGGATGGGTTAAAACTTAAAACATGTTAAAACCACTAACCAGATTCCATAACCTATTGATGGCCCAACGACTTGAGTACCGTGCTGATGCGACTTTCGAGGCCCTATGGGGCTCCAGCGGTGGCCGTAGCGGCGGCACCAGACATGGGGGCAGCCGTGCCAGGTGCGCTGCACTTCCTTTGAACGACATGGTTGAATTGAACTGCGCATAACTGCGCAAACTGAAAGTGGATGGAATAAATCCTGCACCACCTTGGATGGTTGAAACCTTGTGAATAAACGGATAAACCACCTATGAACTTGTGCAGGATGTCTTCCATCCACTGTATGAAGCTGTCCTTGGCAAAATGGACAGAAGGATTTGGACCTTCCTGGCCATTGTGAGGATCTGGAGGCATTCTGGGTCGTGCTCCCGAGGCGGCTTCGAAAGTTGCGGCCGGTGGACATCTAGGATCAGCGGCTGATTTTTCAATCGATGGATGTCTACATCCCACGTGGCAGGTGCGCATTGCTTCATCACCATCTGCTGCAAATTCAAACATCACGCCTCTAAGAGCCTCTGGCAGCGCTTGAGAACAGGCTTTCGGATGCCTTGGAGCCCATTTCAAATGGTCAAACGAGGGTGATGTGGCTGGCGCCGGAACATCTCAAGATGCATTGCCAACTTTGTTCCGCTACTTGTAAGATGACCGACTGGGTTGAATACTCCAGAATTCCTATGTATGGATCATTTTTCCAGAATGGAATTTTGAATCCAGAATGTAATTATGGTTGAATACTCCAAAATTCCAGAATTCCTATATCATGGCTTCCCATGGTTTATCATCATTTTCCCAAGAATGCCAGCCCTTGGCCATTCTTAGTCGCTCCCCACTTGCGACAAATTACAGTCTGTTAGTTTCTATCCCGGCATATCCCATGTTATTCTCAACAAAAATCCCATGATTTCTCCCATGATTACCTCTGGTAAACTAACATAGCTATTAGCAATGGCCATTTTTAGTGAGTTTTCCCATTAAAAATGGTGATTTTCCATAGTTATGTTAGTTTACCAGAGGGTATCAATACATATTGGACATCATCTTGGATCATGATTCTCCCATGAAAAAATCCAATGGATTTTCTCATTCCATCACCATTTTTTCCTGCCAAGCTCCACTGTTGCGGTTGCGCCGCACCGAACTCGGCCCAAAAAAAAGTCGCTGTCCACCGGGCCTGGAGGGCTCGGCTGCCCGAGCGGCACCGGTGACCTGTCGGGGTACAGATGTCGGAGGTGACGTTGCTGGACTATGGCGCGGGGAATGTTCAAAGTGCAACTGGGACGAGAAAGATCGAGAAAGACTAGGGAGATTAGGGAGTCGACTTGAGAAAGACTGGAGGGTTTTGGCTTTTTTTGAATGCTAAAAAATGTTTAAACCATGATATTTGTATAAGAGGATGTCACATTTATGATCATTTTAGATCATCCGATTGATCTATTTTTTGACCATGGATCTTTGGGGATCAAGGCAGGCTTGGCAGCTAAGGTCTTCAATGCCATCCAGTCTTTGGGTTTCAAGGCAGGGGATCCGGAAAATATTTTCATCTATGATGCGTGCACACACATAAAATATTAGATACTTATGTATGCTTATATATACAATTATATAAATATAGCAGTATATATATATATGTGTGTGCGTATGTATATTCATGCTATACTATACATATAAACATACATATATATATATATGTTAAAATGCCATCTCTCTCTCTATATATATATGTTACATGTTATATATGTATATGCTACCCACACATATGTATATACACTATACCTGTATGGAGTTGTATATATAGACATATATATAGTTTACAAATAATCTACAGTCGTATTATAGCATTAGATATGCAGATGGCTGGGGAAAGGAATTCCGCTGTCCATCCCCTTGGGCCATCTGACGATTGCTTAACAGTGCTCCCGATACTGTTTGGTTTTCCCAAATAATGAGATCCACTCTTTCCTCATAACATTGGATGGTTTTTCTTTGATTTTCTTTGAAAGAACCACTAACCACTACCCTCTGGTAATTTAACATAGCTATTGAATATTGCCATTTATACTGGATTTTCACACTAAAAATGGTGATTTTCCATAGTTATGTAAACGTTTACCAGAGGGTAATCAACCAAGATTTCAGCAGTTTAACCCTTCCACCCAGGTTTTGGTCGCCGAGATGTCGGCCTTTGCAGGTGCGCTTCGTGCAGAAGGCCGAGGACATTTTGAGCGCTGAGCGTCTCATCTTCCCCGGCGTGGGCGCCTTTGGGGCCTGTGTGGATGCCTTGCAGCGCAAGGGCTTCATGGAACCTTTGAGGTTGGAGGATCAGGGGATGGGGCAAGAAATGATGGTGAATGATAGCTACGATAGTTATACTGTATAATGTTATGGGTGTATAATGGTGTATATATATATTGGACATTTTACAACTATGTTTTGCTGTAGATAGGTTCTGGTAGCAGTGCTTTTAGTCAATTTAGGGGATAAAATGGCAAGCCTTGGAAGCAGTTCTTTCGCAGCGACTGTCCAGGCAGTACCTCAAGGAGGACCGGCCCTTCTTCGGCATCTGCCTGGGCATGCAGACCCTCTTCGAGTCCAGCGAGGAAAACCCAGGGGTTGCAGGGCTCGGTGTGCTGCCGGGCGTGGTGAAGCGCTTTCCGGAGGCCAAGGGCTTTGCAGTGCCCAACATCAACTGGAGCGGAGTGGCGCCCATGTTGCGCCTGGGATGGGCCTGGGAGTCCTGGGAGGTGGATTGAAAAGGGTGCCAAAAAATCCTTTCAAGTTGGCATGATCTCACTGCTTACAGTGATTACCTTACAATCTCTATGTGTGTACACACACACGCATATATATATATAATTATATATATACACATAAGTTCTACTTGCAAGGTTCGCATGGTTTGGCTCTGCTGTGTGGACTTTTCACACAAAGGGAGCGGCAATGTAAACAGATCACAACAGATCAACATGTATGTGCTCTGCGTTGCCACACCATCAACCCTAGGATGCTTCACATCATGCCACAACATACTACAGAGAACTCCGATGCCAAGGTGCTAACTGCCAACTCAGACGCAACCTGCGTCAGTCAGACTCATAATTTTCGCAGCAAATCACATTGACCAACAAATCATGGTGCGTTTGCAGCTGTTGGACACTTTATTGGTGATGATAATCTCCCATCAATACGGTCCTAGAATTGCTTAGAGGGAACATCTACGGGACACCCTATCATGAGTCATTGGTGGTATACTGCAGAACTTTCCCTTACACCAATCTATGAACGTCATGAACAGATCTTTCTTGGTGAATCGCCGTACATATTAATATCCCACTGATATACTGTATATATATATACATCCATAATTTTCTATTAATTTCCAAATATCCATCGATTTAATAGGTTACTGTAACATCCATTACTTTTCATAAAATTGGAATATGAAGAACACTAGTCTAATCAAAGGAAGTTTAGTGGGAGAAACTTCCGTGTTACGGACTTTTAGAATGTAAAGAAAGAGTTAGTCAAAGAAACAGTTAGTCAAAGAAAGAGTTAGTCAAAGAAAGAGTTAGTCAAAGAAAGAGTTCGTCAAAGAAAGAGTTAGTCAAAGAAACAGTTAGTCAGGGAAAGAGTTAGTCAAAGAAAGAGTTAGTCAAAGAAAGAGTTAGTCAAAGAAAGAGTTAGTCAAAGAAAGAGTTAGTCAAAGAAACAGTTAGTCAGGGAAAGAGTTAGTCAAAGAAACAGTTAGTCAAAGAAACAGATAGTCAAAGAAAGAGTTAGTCAAAGAAAGAGTTAGTCAAAGAAAGAGTTAGTCAAAGAAACAGTTAGTCAAAGAAAGAGTTAGTCAAAGAAACAGTTAGTCAAAGAAAGAGTTAGTCAAAGAAACAGTTAGTCAAAGAAACAGTTAGTCAAAGAAAGAGTTCGTCAAAGAAAGAGTTCGTCAAAGAAAGAGTTAGTCAAAGAAAGAGTTAGTCAAAGAAAGAGTTAGTCAAAGAAACAGTTAGTCAAAGAAAGAGTTAGTCAAAGAAACAGTTAGTCAGGGAAAGAGTTAGTCAAAGAAAGAGTGAGTCAAAGAAACAGTTAGTCAGGGAAAGAGTTAGTCAAAGAAAGAGTTAGTCAAACAAAGAGTTAGTCAAAGAAACAGATAGTCAGGGAAAGAGTTAGTCAAAGAAAGAGTTAGTGAGGGAAAGAGTTAGCAAAGAAACAGTTAGTCAGGGAAAGAGTTAGTCAAAGAAACAGTTAGTCAGGGAAAGAGTTAGTCAAAGAAAGAGTTAGTGAGGGAAAGAGTTAGTCAACAAAGAAAGAGTTAGCAAAGAAACAGTTAGTCAGGGAAAGAGTTAGTCAAAGAAAGAGTTAGTGAGGGAAAGAGTTAGCAAAGAATAGAGTTAGTCAAGAAAGAGTTAGTCAAGGGGAAAGAGTTAGTCAAAGAAAGAGTTAGTCAAAGAAACAGTTAGTTCGTCGAAGGTTCGTCAGGGAAAGGGTTAGTTAAAGCAAGAGTTAGTTAGGGCATTGATTGTTCCCGCAATGCAAATGGGATTGCAAGTGGTGCTGCCGGATGAGTTGCCGATGGAGTTTTGAAGGAAGTCTCGCACGAAATGCATTTTTGAGAGATAGCAGATGCAGGAAACCCTATGTTTTTCCATACAAAGTCTGTCCCCGAACCTCGATGATCTACCTCTGCGGTGCGACGGGTGCGAGACGGTCTCGTGTGTGGTCGGATCATCCTCGGATCATGGTCGGATCGGTCTCGGATCGGTTCCGCATTGTAAATGGGGTTTCAACTGTGTTTCGTCTATGTGCGGTCGACAGAATCCCATTGTGAATTGCAACTGTAGGATCGTTCCCGCATTGTAAATGGGGTTGCAAGTGGTGCTGGTGGATGAGTTGCCGATGGAGTTTTGAAGGAAGTCTCGCACGAAATGCGTTTTTGAGAGATAGCAGATGCACGAAACCCTATGTTTTTCCATACAAAGTCTGTCCCCGAACCTCGATGATCTACCTCTGCGGTGCGACGGGTGCGAGACGGTCTCGTGTGTGGTCGGATCATCCTCGGATCATGGTCGGATCGGTCTCGGATCGGTTCCACATTGTAAATGGGGTTTCAACTGTGTTTCGTCTATGTGCGGTCGACAGAATTCCATTGTGAATTGCAACTGTAGGATCGTTCCCGCAATGTAAATGGGATTGCAAGTGGCGCTGGTGGATGAGTTGCCAATGGAATTCCATTGTGATTTGCAACTGTAGTATCCTTCCCGCAATGTAAATGGGATTGCAAGGTTGCTTCTGCTTTGGCTGCATACGTAATACTATTGTCTTTTGCAGCTGGACTTCGTAAATCGTATTGGAGTGGCTGCATGAAGGCTGCGACAGTGATTTGTCAGCAGATTTTCTCCATTTTAGCGCTAGT